GGGGGGGGGGGGCAGTTGTCCTCCCTCAATAGTAAACAATTTTGTGGTTCCCTCTTCAATCCTCTTCAATCCTCTTCAATCTTGGTTCCCTCTTCAATTACAAAAATATTTTATCTTGGATTATGGCATTTGTTCCACAAAAGGAAGAGGCAATAGTTAAGAATCTGTGACTACAGACTAACAGATGTCTGCTGTGCATATTAGACTTTGATTGCTCACAGCAAGGTTGAGCGTGTAAACAATCATCAATCATGGCACAAGTCTGCAAGCTGAGATGAAATCTATCATTTGACAATTAATTCCCAGAGACACTTTCAAGAGTGACTTGAGTCTTGAGTGAATCCTCAAGAATGACTAAACATCCTTAAGGATTGGATAATTGATATTTCCCAGTCTCCATAACACCTTAACTGCATGAATCTTATGTAAAAATTCTAAAATTCCTGACTATTTTTCTCTTTTAATATGTATTAAAAATTGACATCACATTTGGAATTTTTCGGATATACATATTATAACATCAACAATTTTAAGATGGATAAGCCAGTAATTTTACACCAACATTGTGGCTAAAAACATATAACACATGAATGACAAATGAAAGCCGTATATATAAAACAAAAACAAACACACATGACTTGCAATTTGCACATAAAATGAGCAGACTGCAAATTCTAAAACTTACTTTCTGCTGCAGTTGAAAGAATCCCTCTGACAATATCTGTTCGTCCTAACAAAATAGCAGACTTTAGATTGCTATAACTTTCTGCAATGATGCTTTCCTCGCTCATCTTAATTTGTTTTGATATCAACTTTTACAGAGTTAATCCTCAACTGAATTATCATGAAGCCATGTTGGATTTGTTGATATCATCATTTCCGGCTGCCACGTCGCAACCTCGAAGCCCCCCGCCTCCCCTCAAATGACAATTCGTTGGGTAGACCCCCCACACCTCCGCCACTTTGGTGAAATATGTAACTTTTCTAGAACTGTGGCAAACATTATCATTACTGATACAATAGGTAAATGTGGATTACTGAAATCTGAATACTTTGTTAATTATTAATGAAGTTAGATTCAGTTTTGCATCTTCTCTTTTGCATATTTTTCTGGTTAAAACTCTGTGTAAGTTATGTTCTCAAGATCTTGACCCAGTAGCGAGCAATCTCTGGGAACAGATTGGGCAGGAAGACTTTCATGTAAAGGTGACACTTACTCCTCAATTATTTTTTAAAAGACCTTGTGTAGAGGTCCGACCAAGGGTCCGGGACTCCCACCTTGAAAAGCATGCGTGGTTACCAAAAAACCACAAGTGCTTCACTCAACTGGCTAAAGCCCGTTTTCCACTAGGCGAATTTGTTCGCGCGAACAGATAAAAAGTAGGAAGCGATCCTACTTTTTCGCCGCGAATTTTTTCGCCGACCAATCACGTTGCCGGATTTCGGTTTTCGCTTCGCGTCGCGCGAAAAAATTCGCCTAGTGGAAAATGGCCTTAAAGCAGAAAATTGTTCTAAAAAGAACGTTCGAATCAAGCGATGACGAATTTGAGCGATGAAGCAAAGACCAAAGTGGTGTGATATTAAAAAAAAAAAATAAATCAATTTTCTTCGATCGATATCATTGTGCGTCTGCACAAAACCGTACGTACATGTAAATTAACAGAACGGTGTTGGGAGTGACAGATGTGTTTGTATTTCATTTGATGAAAAGATAGACTGATACAATTCTGTTTCCTATTTCAAATGTATTGTTACTCCGGTCGGTTGTACAAAAGTCACATAGGCTATAGGTCATAGTGCTATCCTGATCGCCCACTAGACAGTGATTTTTTCAAGCTTTCTGAAATTGGTCGTTGATTGCATGGTAAAATTCAGTATGAAAAATTCAACTTGCCTTTTATAAATTGTGGGATGAATATCCGTATTTTTATCGCTTTTCAAGGATTTTTACAAAGGTTGAAAAAATCACTGTCCTCCATCCGGCCTTCGTACCAATTCCGTAAAATGTTCTTCGTTGTATGATGGTACCACTAGCCTGAGCTATGTGGATGGTATACAGCGTATGTATTTGTTTCATGAGTTGTGATTGGTTGTGATTCGGTATGTCGAAAAAGAACGGTGACGTCGTACATTTATATGAGACCACAAAATTAACGTCCTTTTCTTGCTAGAATTCCCAGAAACGTACAGTCTTTTGCAGGCCACGGCAAATATAATACACATTACTCAATACACAATACAATTGTCGAGACATTTTTCTCAGATATCTATAGGTAAAAATTTGAATTTCTTTACTGTCATATTGGGGAGGTTCAGATTTGACTACCGCTACCATTACTGGACTAATAACCAATCGGATGCGTTTGATAGGATACATCCGATTAACCAATCAGATGCGACTACCAAGCCAGTGAGACTGTGAGAGGTAGTGGAAGTCAAATCTGAACCTCTCTATCACAGAGTATTAACATATAACCAGTTGTAACATATGTTACTCTGTGTCTCTATTATAAGAATTAGAGTCTACTACTCTTTCCATCTGTCTGGCTGCATGAGCTTGTGGCTGTGCATATGATGTTGAAGATTGAAAATTTCATTACTAATAGGGCATTTACGACTACCTAGCTAGAGACCATCTCATTTTGTTCACATAACTTGCATATCCAGCTCCCTAAAAATGAAGAATGAAATTTAGCACTGACAGCAGATGTTGAAAAGAACCCTACACATAACCAAACTGGTTGTCTTGTCTTACCTTCAGGTGGTGTATCCATAGGAGGGTCCAAACAATACATGTGATAGCCTCGGTCACAGTCGTCACAGAATAACAATTGATCCTTGGAAAAGAAAGATATTGCGACTTATTTAACAAATATAAAACATTTTCCGTGTTGATATACAGTTTTATTATATAGTAGAGAGTGAGATACTGAGAAATACACAGTGACATATTTTCCATATCTTCACTAGTGAAGATATCGAACACGTGACTAGTTTAGTATAGTTATACAATTTTTTGCTTGGGACTATATAATAAACAGAACATTACACGGTGGCTTGAAGATATGACTTTTATCTTCTCGTGTTAAAAACAATATTTTACTCACTCGCTGCGCTCGTTCGTAAAATATTGTTTTCACCACTCGAAGATAAAAAGTCATCTCTTCGCGCCACCGTCTAATATCCTCTATAATACTATATATCAACACAAGTGGAAATTGGGAAAACGATCATCAGGCCAAATTAAACTTTTTGTCATCTGGACAATGAAAACATTAATATCCGAGGGACAGAGATGTTTTCGCTCGCAACTCTGTCTCTGGTTTAATCTTTTTGCTTCTCTGGGTCAAGAATCTAATTCCTCTCTGCCTCCATGCAGAGGAATCGATTGCATTCATTTATCGTTTTAAACCAGACTCTCAGGGTAGCATGCTAAAAGATGAAGACTGAAACTATCAATTGTTATTCTTCCACAATGCAACCCATATTGAATAATTCATAAACACACAATCAAAATACATACGTCATTATCTGATGTACCACAAAAAGTACAAGATTTACACTCAATGCACTGCCATCGATATTGTTTCACTTTAGCAGTAAGTTTCTCTGTAAACTGCAAGCAACTAGGATGACCTGTAAGAGAAACAAGACATATTATCAAATACAAGATGAATATCTCGAGGAACTTGATGAAATGAATTGGTCAGCCCGAGGTAATGTATTGAATCAATATTTGAGCAACACTTCAATTGGAACGACAGTAAAGTAACTCACCACACCGTCCACAGTCTGCACAAGACAACAGTTCCTCTGACATCAATGTCTTCTTATTTTTAGTTGCATCACCCAGACAAAAATCACAATAGTCATTTGGATTCACAATTCCCAGCTGACTTTCCTTTGTTACCGCTACTGTAGTAGTCGTAACAGAGGGTTGTGGGTTAGACTCAACCATAGGTGAGCCTGGTAAAGCTGAGCCTGGTGGGTTGACCTCTGTTGTGTCGCTTGATGAGTCGTCTTGATCGTGGTTGTAGTGTGTGTAATGATATTTTAACCCAGGACCATTTTTATATCGTTTGCCACAAACTAAAAGTTGGCAAATGAATGTAATATAATCAAAGTTTGAGATGGGGTTTAATTAAGTTTATAGTGCTGGGATACACAAACATACAGGGGAAAAAATAATTAAGTTGCTTGACTCGGTAGTATTGGCTCTCTTTTTCACAATGTTGGCCAAAATTGGAGGATGCTGTCCTGCAGCACAAAACATGCCTTGTACTGATCAACATAGTCAGCAGAACTTACTCTCACAAATATAAGGTTTTTGCCTTTCTTCATAAGTCATCTTGGCTAATTCTTCTTTTGTATAATTCTTTATTTTAAGAGTGCTTGGATCAACCTTCATCATTTAAATAAAATAGATTGATAAGAAACACATCAATAAAATTTAGCAATGTCAACAATTCTGTTGACAACTAGTTTTCCGGAGGATAAAGGTAGCAATAGTTCTTTAATCACCAGAATGTGAGAACAGGGGTATACCTAAAGCTCCCCTGGCAAAGAATGCCAGATATTCCAGGAATGTGTTCATGTTATTCTAGGGGAGGGGGACCTGACTCTAGCTCCCCTTGACTCCACCCTTAGATCTATCTGAACTGTACCTTGTAATTAGGAATGCCCAATGTATTTAAACCTTTCTTCGATGGCCTGCCAAATCTTCCTGCTTTCAGCGCATTCTGATCATCATCAGGGTCCGACTCTTCTTCACTCTCCTCCTCACTTTCTTTGATAGCTTCAACTTCTGCTGACTCAGTATTTTCTTCGACATTGCTAACGCTTGCTTCCACAGTAGGCACCACCGGTTGACTTACAGCAATGCCACTGGTTGAAGCCATTGTTACTATGTACAGCAGAATGACTGAATGAGTACATCTCAAATCACAGGGAGCCCATCCCAGGTCTTATTGATGTGCATGTTTCTCTAGCATTTATTCAACATGTGCGTTAGCCCAACTAACTTCCCCAAAAAGGCATTTGTTTGAAAAATTGAAGTACTTATGATCTTATTCTGTAGTTTCGTCACACAAACCAGAATAGCCTGCTAGCAGCACAGAATAGAGATAATACAGTAGTCCCACCACCACACCATGACGTCAACAAAATGCACTACATGTTTGTAGGCAGTGTGCATATGAGAGGCATTCACCCCCCCCCCCCCTGAACATGTCATTTTGAATATTTTCAGGGGGAAAATGCCTCTCGTAAGATCACTGGCTAGTGATAAAATATTTCACTATAAATACATCGAGAAAATCTACACAAAAGAATGCTATCTTTTTCATCTTAAAATTCAACATCTTTGGCCACCCAAAAGTTACAAATTATTTTCATATTCTAATTTTAAAATTGCAACAATTGAAAAACACCAATAAACCTCTCTATATAAAATATACAAATATAAAAATATTCCCTGTATAAAAATATTCCCTGTATAAAAACCATCCTAAACAAGTAAAGTTTCCTCCAAAATATATACCGACCTTGAGGCGATTCTTCAACCACTGGTTCGCTTTCTTGTTCAACGACCCGTTCGCGAGGCTTTCGCTTCCAGCGACGTCCAGGGTAGCTACATATTTGATACGGGTAAGCTGGTGCTCGTCTTGATAACTTACTTTTCCACAGATGACAACTAACTTGAGCTACGCCGGTTTGAGAGTCGAGGAATGGACTCCTTTGTTTACGTTCAAAGCCTAACCGCGCATTGTACGCCGACGTTTGCTCTAAGGCATCCTTATATCGCGAACTAAAACCAAGCAAAATATTTCAATCATTCAAACAATTTTATGGCGCTAAGAACACGATAAAAATTGGCGATTTTATAAATTTTTGGTGAAGTAAATGAACGATTACTTACCTACTTACGCCAACTTTGGCCGCCATGTTTTGAATTTTTAACTTTTTGGGGGCGGGACCTTTGGCTTGATCCATATAATTTATGCAAGTACCCATCACCTCAATGTGGGGTTAATGGGGTCAATGCCCCATATTTGCCAGAAACACCAAATGTCTTTAATTCTTTTTAAAACCACAGCAACTTACAGAATTCTACCTACACTGGACCAGCATGTTTTATTTGTTTATTTATTCAAATTTATTTATCTTGTAACCTGACTGACAGTGTCATCATTGTACATTAAGTTATAATAATAGGATCTGCATCAATGGTCGATTGATGGATTCCTACTTTCCCATCAAGCATAACCGACAAAACACTGGAAAAGACATCTTTAAAGAAGCCACGTTCAGTATTGCTGTGTTCCCCCAAAACAACATTAATGCCATTGGAAACTGCATCTAACACGTCATGGTGTGACATTTCACCTGTCAAATACATGTCAGCTTTAACACCTTTCAGAATGCTCCCGCCTGAACCTGCACAAATGGCAATGGTGTTGATGAGGTCATTTTGAGATCCTAGCTTTGCCGGTGCAAAACGAACATTGTCCAGCTTCAAATGATGCTTAATTCGCTTTATCATAGTCTCTACTGAAACAGCTTCTTCCAACGTACACAAACGGCCAATGCCAGTGTCTTGCAATGGCACCTGAATAAGGAATAATGTTCAATCTTGATAAAAAATTACCATTGTTTGCAAGATAGTATATCTGGAAAGAACTAAGATTTAATAAAATCTCACGTGACGGCAGTAAAGTTTGCAACATACCTTAGCCAGACTAAAAACATCAGTTCTCTTTAACATTTCTGAAAAATCACTGTTTAACAAATTCATTATTTTCACCAAAGAACCAGCATTGCATTTGAAATTTACATCTACATCATGTCTATATTAATCAGAAAAAAAATTATGCAAGGTTGTATTATATCCATAGCAATATTAGGCTATGATGACTATAGTCCTCGACTATGAAGACTGTAGTCTTTAGTCCTTCACTAGACAACTGCAGATAATTACAAGTTTCTTTTCTAGCCAAATATGGAAAGTGATAATTGCAAATGTGTAATAGACCCCTAATTTAAATCTAAACCAAAAATCTATTTACTTACAAAAGTTCTCCAACATTAACATCAATGTTCTCATCTGCTTGTTTTAATTTAGTTACCAACTCATCAACTTTACTTTGATCGTTAGGAACAACAATGTTCACTTTATGTGTCCCCAACTTTCCATCAACAAGTGTATTCTTTAGCGGTCTAACTGTCCCTTTCCCTAAACCACTCGCCAGCCAATCATTCACTCCACCTTTGACAACATCAAATGCAGTATGTGGAGAATATATTGCTATTCTATTCTCAATGGCCTTCAACACAACTCTCTCTTTCCAAGAATTTCTTGTCAAGGTTTTAAGAGGCATAAATATTGGAGGATGATAGGATAAAATCATATTTGTGTTTTTCCGAATAGCTTCTTCCATGACTGCTTCTGTGAGATCATTGGTTAAGAGGATTGAGCTCACTAAATGACTTGTGGTTGATGGCTGAACAAGAAGGCCAACGTTATCCCAGCTTTCAGCCAATGATAATGGAGCATAGTTCTCAAGATGTCTGACTAATTCATTCAGCTCCATGCCCTTGACAAATGACTGACAACTTCTCTTGATGCCTTTCAATGTTGTGAAAATGGTTGGTTTCAAAATCCTTCTTAGGATCATTTATTTAATTTCATAAATATCTGAAATAAAACAATTAAAACCAATATATATATATAAAGCCCTGGGAAGTGGGAAGTTCAGTGAACTTAGTGATGTTTAGTAGAGTCAAACTTGAAACACTTTTCTCACATGCAACTGGCCACGAACCATGGTATAATCTGACAACTGCATATATTGCACAACATCAGTCACAGAAGGCAGGTATAAAAGTTGGACCGGATAGCTAGTAGGACTGGACCTAACCTCAAATCTAACCAACCTGAAGCAGACTAGTGTGACTTTCATAATTATCTACTTCAGGGTTGGTGCCGTTGGTCAAGGTTAGGGTTAGGTCCTGTCCAACTAGCAATCTGGTCAGACTTTTACTAAGATGGTACTTATCAAATGATACAAACCATTATCTTCGTACTTACCAGGCAGTATTACAGTAATATATAATAATTACAAAAAAAATTGGTGAGAATTACAGAAATACCCAAACACCCAATTGAAAATTACCCAAGAAACTCTAGCTCGATCCAGCCTTCACCTTTGACGCGATAATCTCTCACTGCTGACTCAGCAACTTTGAGCGGCATTTAATTCCGAGCGTCAAAATCGAATGTTTACGTTTGTTTACAAATATTATTGAAAGTGTGAAAGTGAAAACAAGAAAATACTATGGCAGAAGTAAGGGCGATTTTAAGTTTTATATTGTATTTATGTACATATATAACAAACTAGATAGTAGCTGTGTACATTTTCAGTGTTTTATAAGTCAAAATTATACGAACATCTCATGTTTCCGTAAACTGCAATGTCACATGCTGCCCATATGCCACGTCGATGACATTTTGACACAGCTGATAGTTTCCGTACACTACAAATTATACAGTAAACTTTGAAGATATTCTACCCTAAACCTTACTGATCTTTCTATATATTTAACTTTGTTCTTTTGTTCCCTATTGGCCTATCAGTTCTATACAAGAGGTCCAGAAAGTCCATCCAGACCATCCTTATTCGTCCAGTATTATCCATCTTAAACTACAAAGTACTCAACACTATAATCAAACAACTGCAAATATACATCAAATACTGCATGTGCTACAACTCCCTTATATTTATTCCGACTAATAAATATCTGTTCTATAACATGTACTTATTTACTGAAAATTTTAAATTTCCTAGAATCATATTACATCTGATGAATGTTGTCAGTTTCTGTTTGATGAGAAACTTCTTAAGTCTATAAATTTTGATGAAAGTCAAAAGCGACTAGATATATCAGTCTCACCTTCAAAACTTGGTGAAAATTTTGTCATGAGACCACTGTCTGTTGGTGATTATGATAAAGGTACAAAATGGGTATCCCACAATTGTGGTCTTGTCCATGGGGAACAAGTCTGCAATTGTATGATGAAACCTACCTGAATATTCAATTTTATCCACCCCCAAACACAGATTACAAACACAACTTTATTCTTAATCTTTAGGTTATATTGATCTTCTTGCTCAACTCACAAAAGTTGGTGATATAACAGAAGAGAAATATCAGCGTAAGATAATTATTACTCGCAGTTTAACGAATCTGTGTTGAAACATGCCTTGTAAACTAATTATATATTTAGGAAGATTTAGAGAGATGAAAGAATGCCCAAACACATACTACATTGCCGTGATAGAAAATACAGACACAAGAAAAATTGTCGCAGCTGCATCGCTAATTCTTGAACAGAAATTTATTCATGAAATAGCCATGGTATGAAACTTAAATTTATTTCCAACATACTATACTAGATTTTGTTGTCCAATTCATTCTAGATAACATCTTCACACATACTGTACAGATTATACTAGTATACAGAGTACTTACATATGTATTTTTAAAACAGAGAGGTCGTATAGAAGAGGTTGTAGTGCACACTGAATACAGAGGAAAGCATTTTGGCAAAGTGTAAGTATATACAGTTAAAATACTGGTAATTAACACATACTTATTAATCAACAGACACAAATAACTAAAGTTACCAAACTGACCTCCAAAAGATGAAAACTAACTAATTATAACCATATACTTTTCCTACAAATAGGTTGAAATGTTTTCTGTTTTAGACTTGTAGAATCCTTGACTTTACTTGGGGGAAAACTTGGCTGTTACAAGATCAGTTTGGACTGCAAAGAACCACTGATTCCATATTATAGCAAGTTTGGTTACAAGAAAGAGGATGTTCATTATTTAGTGAACAGAATATATCATTAATTTTGCTAGGCATAATGAATTAGTGTAAAATATGCAATTTAAATAATTATATGAATATAACTTATTAAAATTTTAATAATACAAAAAATATGGTAGTCTTTTGGTGACTCTATTGCAGGGCTGGATTTTAAATAAAACTATGGCAATATATTATGCCACTAAATATTTTGCCATATTCTGCATTGGGTTGCATAGTATGGCAAAATATGCTTGGACATGTTGTTTTGTAAATAACCATGTAATTGTCTATTTAACTAAACGAGTTTTATAAATTCATCAAGTAAAAATGAACTATGTCTTAAAAACAAAACATTTGAATTTATTTAGTTGAACTTTTGGAATATGCCAAATTTTGGTCTGTTTGGCTCTTTCAGGTGATTTTTTCTATAACTCTGCCAAATCAACCACTATCCTTTTCTATCACAAGAAGCCATTCAGGACTTTGCCGCAATACTAGGTCTCTTTTTCCCATCGGCTATTTGCATGTCTGGGTACACAACTCTCTTGGCAGGAGCATGTGCTTCCATGTTGTCTAAAAATCTGTGAAATTCTTCACACGTCTCTGCATCTCGTTCGCAGCCAGTAAGAGCACGCTTCTCCAAAAACAGACCAAGTCTTTCACGATGTTGGAGCGTAATGCTTCTGGTCCAATCTGGATCTTCGAGACCTGTCACTTCTCTGACCTTTTCTGCAATAAACTGTGTGAAAGTGAAAATATAAAGTTTCATGACTTTGTATTTTTTAAGAACAATAATTCACTGCACCTTTTAGTTGAATTATTAAAATGGGTGTTATTAGTACTACAACTTTGACGTGTAGAAATCAGTCATGGAAGATGGGTTTAAAATTATAGAGCAAGTTACTGTACAAACTAGAATATTTCACAAAACCCACCTTTATATGTTCAAAATCAGTAATTCCAACTCGAGGCAAAGATGAGGCATGTATAGTTATTAATTTTCGTCCATTTATCAGATTGTCTGAGAAACACCGCTGTTGAAAACAAGAACAAACTACAGGTGATGAACTTTTCAACCTTTGACGCCAAACAAAAACAAACATGAAATGAAAAACTCACCTTATATTGTGGAAAGCCTAAATATTCTATCCATTCGGCTACATCTTCTGGACTCCACTCTAAACATGCAGGGATCCCTTCATGGTCAAATGAAGGAGAAAATCTATTTTCTAAATCCCTCTCGTTGTTTTCATTTTCGGCCGCCATTATCCATCGCCTTGGCAACCAAAAAATTTCTAGTTCCAGTCTCTTTTATAGTTTCGCTATTTCAGGAGGCCTCTGGGAACTGGGACATCTCGATGGTCAACCGCGGTTATCATATTGAGAAATAAAGTCTTGTATTTGGTGGCAAATAGATAGAACTGAGTGATTTAGATGAACTTTATTGCTCCTATATGTTTCAACATTTCTGAAGTTGTTATTACATGTAAAACTAATAATAAAAGCTTAGTGCGCCGCGCAAACTCGCGCCTTTTTCGAAAATTCTCTCCTTTTAGAAATGTTTTGTTTGTCCACGTTCTACAACTTGTTGAAAGCATACGAATTACGAACAATAAAAATCGTTCAGCGTTCTATACGAAGATTTATGGCCCAGTGTATATCTGAGGACAGTTTACACGACTACACGAGCGATTTTTATGGTATCCATTTTCTTAATGGAACATCTACAGTATATTTACACTCGATTAATTTATGAGGTAACATGCTTTTGATCTGAACATGCTATAGAATCTCGTCCCCAGGATATGATATACAAAATAGCCCAGCTTTTCTTAGATATTGTACATTCTGATCATAAAATTTTATAGTTTCCTTGCACCTGTGCTTGTTGTCAATGTCTGTCGTCAGGTGGATCCACACTTAGTCAGAATCATCCCCAAATATATCTTCACCACTGTCATCACCCTGTACAATATCAAATCAAAGTAACCTTATGATTATTCTTAGGAGGATGGCCGCTAGTCTGACGCCGTACGCCTGCAGATGGACGGCCGTGCATGCGCAAATGGACGAATGACGAACATGGACAAAGAAAGATACTACCAAATAGTTCGCCTTGACGGTACTTTGCCCAAGTTCGTCCAGACGGATCATCCATCTCTAGTGAAAATCGGACCACTAACGGATGCACATGAATTCGGATGAATTCAAGCACAACTAATCATAATTCCACATGCATACTTATTTCCGGACTCTTGTGAATATTAACTTTTGAAACAACTCATGGCTGCTTACCGATTCCTCACCAGCACTTGATTCAGCTTTCTTCTCATTGCTCTCTTCCTGATTCTCTCCCACTTCGCCATCTTGTTGTTTCTCGCCATCATCTTTATTTTCATCTCCAGATTGATCATTTTCCTCTACCACTTCTTCATCATCTTCTTCGTTTTCGGCCACGACATTCTCCAGTTGTAAATGACGCGAGTTCTAACAGAATATTAAATAGCTTTAATCAAATACAGAAACAACAAACTATTTAGCAGTCACTTCATTTTGTGTATTGTAATATGGCGAAACTAATAAATACATAAATAAACATCGGATTTCAAGCAGGAGTGTTGGCCGCAGTGTGGTTAGTGCATGCGCCTTTCACCTGCAATATGCAGTTGTTCAATGGACCTTTCCCCTTATAACTAAAATTTGAAAGAGCATCACAAAATTAGTAATATTCCGAAGTTTCGTTGCGAAATGTTGTAAAATGCGGATAATACAGCCCTGCGAAATTTGAAATTTTCAGTATTTTTGTATTACAAACGGGAAATTGATGCCCCAGCACCCGATAGGGCTGTCAATTTCCCATGCGTAATACAAAATGACTGAAAAACGGCAAATTTCGAAAGGCTATATTATCCGCATTTTACAACATTTCGCAACGAAACTTTGGAATATTACTAATTTTGTGATGCTCTTTCAAGCTGTGATGAAATTTTTGTGAAGAGTGCTTCCAGTTTGACACTACCAAACACCGTTTTCTCCGAGTACACCAGGTTCCTCCCATAGCAATACTGGGCCACTAAGGGGCAAGCATTATGAGCTAGGGAAGCCTCACATATCGATTTTGTCCATGGGACGTTTCTCTGGAGACCCCCACCCCCTTGGAAACGTCACACATAGTTATCGATATTTTGTTCTTATAGTACACAAAAAGTAATTTTCTACTATTGAATTTGACCGGTCTTCGAGACAGTTGAATTCAAATTACTTTAGGAACTATGAACTATGAAAATGTATAGAACAGGTATGGTATTACGGATGATGTATATAGACTGGTGTTTGTATCAAGTTGTATTCTTTTTTATATTCTGCAAAGATAATTCCCAAATGTTAAGGCTTTCGAAAAAAACTATCGAATTTATCCATGATGTTTTACAGAGAAACGTCACAGCTGCAAACCCCCAACCGTCCATATGACGTTTCTCGTGGACACAATCGATATGCGAGGCTTCCCTTAGCTTAGTTAAATAAACACATGGTAGCCTCGGTTTCTTTTGTTTCAACAGGGACATTTATCACGTATTTCCCTCATGACCCATGCATACGCTTTTGTCTTCTAAATTTCCCCGGGAAACGGGGAAATTTAATTGAAAACAAAGGATTTCTTTGTCTTTACTAAACCTCCTTCGGTTTGCGGGGACATTTAATCACTAATTTCCCTCAAAGCATGCGTTTACTTATAATAATGGTCCAGTACCTGTGCTTGCTCTTCTTGTTCAGTCAGTTCTCTGTGTTTGACCAACAGTTTCGATACAGTAGATTTTACTCCGCCGGCCCCACCTTTCGTACGACGTTTACTGAGACGAACCCTCGTGACGAGTTCATCGTAAAATACGCCTTCTTCTCGGAATACAAACACATAGTTCTCCTACAGAAATACAGGAAATAATTTCAGCTATGTCAAGGCGGGATATAGAATTTGTCAGACATGAAGTACTTACAAACTTGATTTAAAAGTGCCTTGTGGCGAGTTCTTTATCGTAGCAATCATGTAAAGCCTGCTTCATACGAGAGAGATGCATAAGAATGAATGCAAACGAAAATGTCACCTTTCGGATGGAAAACACAAGTCAGAAAGACTTTTCTTTAAGTTTTTGTTTCGCCTTAACTTGTACTTATTGTAGGTCTATACTTATATGCTTGTGCTTAGTAAGGTCTTTAAAGCTTTGCGTTTATTTCACATGTGTGAACAAGACTTAAATCCATCTAGTACCAACCTCGTATCCTTTGGACGCCTTGTTCTTAACATTCCAGTTATACTCTCGTGCCATTTTGTAATGATATCTAAAAAAATGTTCACGTTTTGACCTTTGCAAGTTTTAGTTGGTTTCAGTAAGCGTTAGGGGGAGCAGTATATGGTGATCAAATATGGGACACACTTATAGGAGCAAGGAATATTACTCTTCAACTCTTAGTTTTATTTATTTGCCACTAAATACAAAACTACAGGGGCGGATCTACCGGTAGGTGCACGGGGTGCGCACCCACCTACTGGGGTCCAGCACCCGCTTGAAGAAAACTCTGGTATTCCATATTTGAGTTGTGAATACTAATTATATTGAAACGATTGTTTTTTCAAATACGCAAAAAAACATTCAATCACCAATACGGCGGGTCACCATATAACGTAGTGCTCATTTTTCTAAATTTTGCCCGAAATACAAAGTACTGTAAGGACAAATTTAATGAATAAACGTAGTGCTCAGAATGCAGGAAATGGTATTTCAGGGCTTCAATTTTCGAAACGTTTCTGGGGGAGAATGCCCCTGGACCCCCATAGTAATACACCCCCTCTGGAAAACCTCCACCTCCTCTAACAAATCAGGCTAGATCCGCCCCTGGCACGGAATATTACACTTCATGTCTTAGTTTTATTTACTTGCCACAAAATACAAGACTACTACATAAATAGTAAAAATAATTAAACATCCCTTTCTCACTGTAATAACTGCCAGATGACCACACCAACTGGTGCTCTGCAGTGCTTAGTGAAACCCACCAGTACAATAAAAATGTGAAAGTGACTAAACCGACTTACTCATCGCCTTCAGTATATTCTTTTTCATCCTCTTGATCTCGTTTACGTTTTCTCAAAGTTTCATTTTCTGGCAGGAAGTACGCAACGAACTGGTCACCTTGGACGTCAACCATACCTCTGGAAATCACAAAATAAGGACCTGGTTTCTACTAAGATAGATCAACTGTCAAGACGTATATCAGCTGTTGGACAGATCATTTGTCTTATAATGTACACAAGACGAAGATAGAACTAAAATATTGAACCATGGGTGTCAGATGCTGGAATCCATGGTAACCGTGTTACCTTCAAGTGACTGGAGCTAATTGCAAATCTGGGTCAGAAGATCTTGTGCACGCTAGTATAGCAGAAAATTTCAATCTTTCCCAATATCTTTTTGTGATATTTACCGACTACATTTAATAGGTTTCTCTTTTCTATAACATTCTCTTTTCTATTTTCAAACATGATGTGGTTTGACTATTTTCCTGAAAAAATTTGTTTATCAGATCCAAAGCCATCAAGCTCTGACTTATGCGCAACCACTCCTATAGGATTCAAAGGACAAAGAGATTTTCGCCATGTTGGATGATATTTGCATTGCAAACAAGCAAAATCCTTTCTCAATGTCATCCAACATGGCGACGGTGACGTAACTTACACACCACCTGTTGCCAAAATTGACTTTCTCAGGCCCAATTACTCAAAAAGTTTCCCCTGGTGGCCCGATCCCCCAACGCAACTCGCGGTACCGTTCCGGCTGCTCGCTTCACTCGCTGGGCTAACTTCAAATTATTTTAGGTTACCTGCGAAAAGAGTAAATATACAGGCATGTATTGAACGAACCTGATCATAGCTTGACACATTTCCTCTGGTTTTGCAGGTTCATGACCACCTCGCGGCGATGGATCAGTGTCAAATATGACATGAGCACACGGCTGGGACCACATCTAATCAGTAATGAAATAAGTCCAATATATAAGTCAATTTACTCACACAAATAGAAGTGAACAGCATTACTATAAACCTATCGCAAAATCCCCCAAAATGCCTGATTTTACCGCACTTCCGGTTTTGAACACCTGTTCTTCCACAAGAACGGTTTTTGTTGCGATTCTTCTTCTTCTGGTGCATGTGAACGAGTAGATGAATAATGGATGTTCTGGGTATGTGTACCCTCATCTGAACATTCATAACTCATCAACTCGTTCACATACATCAGAAGAAGAAAATCGCACTTAAAATCGCAGCAAAAATTGCAAGTGTAAACGAATACACAAAAAACGTGAATCATTGGTCCTTTGGTTTGGTATCTCTATCGTCTGGCGTCTGCCCTGCAATTTACGTTGCAGCGAGACGTACACGTAGCACCACAAACAATGGTAGGAAATTGGTTGTGAAAAAGTGTAGAACTACCACTTACCAAAACAGCTACTTTATAAGGGTAACAAAACTATGGAACATTTTACCAAACAATCTAACGTTAGAAAACCAAACTCTTAGTTACTTTAAAAAGAGTTTGCATTCTTATTACAACAAAGCCTTAAAGGATATCTATGACATTGACGACAACAGGACATGGAAATCTGTTTGTATCAAATGCAAAAATGCGCGCCTTTTAAATGAAGTGCCTCATTGTTGCTTTTAGTTGACTTTTATAGTGTTTATCTATCGTATTTTTTACTTCCTAATCTGTAATATAGCGCATTTCATAGTCTATTATATAGTGTAATCAATTTTGCATGCATTCTTAACTTGTAATCTAGATAGTTTTGGAGGCACAGTAATTGGGGTAACCTGTTGTGTCCACCATTTTACCTGTATCTTGTGGTAAATAAAGTGATTTAGATTGCAACTACCAAGTTTCAAATAAAACAACTTGTAGTATCTCTGTATCCAAGATGTTTCAAAAGCAAAAACCGGAACTTTTGGGTTTTGCGATAGGTGTATTGCATGTTGTTTGCTGCGGTGTATTAATAGCAGGGCCAGTTGTTCAAAAGCTGGTTAGCTTAATCCTAGATTACGGTGAAAATTCAAAGCAAATTTCCTAAGAACTTGTACGTTTTTCCAGAAAATTTTTTCTAGAAATCTTGTCTGCATTGATAATAACGTTAATCATGCTTTCAACAACCAGCCCCTGTGGTGTCCAGCAAGTGATTTACTACATTTGGACACCGCAAATTGTTGTAACAATACCTGAAAGTCTGGAAAAACTGGCAAAACATCGACAGGTTTGATGCCACGTTTGCTTGGATGACGATAAATCTTGAAAAAATAAAGAACATTTCATAGGAATCTCCGTAAATTTTGTGTAAGAGTTGTGACAGCACAACTTGCATTTAAATATATCAAAAACAGTCAACAGATATTGATTTATTGTATACGGTAAATAAGACATGCATACTGGTCGTTTTGCAGATTCAAAAGTGCCTTGGATTGCTTCAACTTGACTTTCTCGATCCTATAGTAAAATGTCAGGTACAATTATTAGTTATATACATCTGGTGACTGGTATGCATTATTTCTATGAATTTATTATTTCTTAGAAACATACCTTGTATACATCAGTTCCCTGGAATTTCTTTTTCATGCTGTAACCAACTCTGTTTTTAAGAAATTAGAAAATTACACTTGGATTGCATGTTATTTACATGGTAGCAAACCCATTATTTTTCTATTACTCAATTGATTTATCATCACATATTTCCAATCTAAGCTTACTTTGTTTCCATCTGCTCGTTACTTGTCTGAAAGCGGTTGTATTCTGTTGAGATATACTCAGTTTTTCTCAGCCATGATACAGTCTTATTGTGCTGTCGAGACCTAAACAAAGGCAAAGACAAAATAACTTAGACCATTTTGAGTTTTCAGTGCATGAGAATAGTGAACTTTTGAGTGAATTTGAAAATCTACGGTTTTATATCATTTACCGTTTTTGGTCAGTTAAACCAATTGGTTCCTCTTCAAGCAATTTTTCATCAATCGGATGGAGGTTAACTATATAGAAAATGTTTCATCAATCATTGTTTTACATTTCACTATATTTATCAAGAATAATGTATTTTATTCTGCTCTTTATGTTTCTTATAGTTACTCAGTTGTATAGTTTTTGCACTAATTCCTGTGGTGAGCACTCATAGTAATTTAACCCATTAACCTATTTTAACCCATTGAGTGCCAGCAGCATTCTCCCCCTGATGAGTAAAATCATCTGGCGTTAGACAGAGTAAAATAATAAAGTAGAGCACATCTGGGCGCATTGTCTGGGTACATTAATCTTTACTTACAGAAGACAGCATAGGCATACGAGAGGTTGACTTTTTTTTTGGGTGATTGGAAATTTTTTTGAAGGAGTTGAAATTTTCGAAAACCTTATATATTTCCCCCATCTTTTTTCCAAATGTATGTTTATAATTTGCCCAACTTCATTTTTACAGGGGACAGCTCTCCCCGCCTCATACCCATATGGAAGATAGGCTTAAATCATTGGTAATGAGTAGCAGTAACCACATTTGACATCCATGCCTGTCTCGAATTCTTCTTGTATATATATTCCCCGTTTTACTGGTGCTATTATTACTGCTATTTTTCAGGCCTTAAAATATCTTTTCCAGGGCCGTCCGACAAAATGTCCGGTGACGTTGAGTTTGGGTCGGACATATGTCCGATGACTTCAGCTCATTTTTGACTCGGAAATAAGTCTGAATGACACAAATGAATATAAAACGATAAATGTTGTAAAGATATTAAAAAATTTGTTTCTTTCATACTTATTTCCAAGCCAAAATTAACTTGCTTGCCAGAACAGCAGTATCAAAAAGACTTCGACAACTTAAGCCTGTTTTCCACTTCACCATTTCACTCGCCGCCCCGCGCTCAACTACGTTAAAACAACATTTCCAGTTGACCTTTTATACAATAGTACTCTGATTTTCCATTTAACATATAAGCCTGCCTCTAGTCCTGGCCTCCTGGGCTAGGGTACTTTTTGATTTACGTCGGACAAAGCTACAGTTCGGTCGGACACCAATACACTCGGGTCGGACAAACAATAAACCTCAGTTTCACTTTGGTCGGACAGAATGTCCGGTGGTTTCTTTTCTACGTCGGACAATTTCACGAATGGGTCGGACAATGTCTGTGACCGACCGATATTTTAAGGCCCGTATTTTTTGTGAGAATCATACCATCCGCGCTGACGGCATACGTGTCTGGATCAATCAAATCAATGTTTACACCAAGATCAACATCGGTTAATAATTCATGTTTGTAATTCTTCTCTAATGACGTTGGTTTGTACTGTACAAATCTGAATTAAATATACACCAGAGACGACATGAGTAAAAATGAAAGTAAGCTTTAAATTTTTTTCAGGTAATTTAGATACAAACTACAGCAGACTACTGTGGCTAATACAACCTACACTAGACTTCCATAATTGAGATATCATGATAGTCACACAAAATGCCAGCAGTTAAAAACTAAAAACTCCATTGCCCAGATTCATTTGAGAAAGCTTCAAATTGATGGGGATACAAAAAGGACTTGGACGTTTCAAGCGAAGGCCCTTCATCAGAAGGTTCATATCCCTATCAATCTGAAGCTTTCTTATTATTGGCACTACCTACACTGGCACATACCATCAGAGACGCCGGAACGATGTGAAGGCAAGGGGGGCAGATTTTCGTGAAAGGGCACTTTTGAATCGATATATACTAAGAGATGTTTGCAAAACATCGGGAGTTGAACTTCACTTAATCATGTTTTCTATTTATTGGATGATAGGGGTGAGAGGGGGTTCTCCGGCAGGCGATTGTGCTATTCTTGAAGCTCAATGACTGCATTACTTGCATTTTCTGAAGCAAATTCGTAAACTAGAATTGCACTAACATTTCTGACAATTCGCTATTTTGCCTTAAAAAACTCATTAATAATTCATGAAGAAAACACAAAGAAAAATCATAAGCGTGTCGTATCTGTATATGTAATACAGATTCATGTTGATTTACATAAACTTTAACTTTGATTTTCTCGGCTTAGACAACGTTTATTTTTAAAATTACTTCGCCAATGAACTCATAAGATGAGTCATTTTTTAAGCCATTTACAACATCAGCCATCCTAGATTCATTTACCTGTTGGCCTCAAATGGATAAGCAATGAATTTGGCATCAAATGGGATATCTGGCAAATGGTTGTTATACTTCACTCGACACACAAATTCTGGCCTGTAATAGTGATTATATTTTGATGTTAACACTTACATTATACTATGGATTGCATCCAAATTATCTCTATTTACAATCCCCCATGCATTGGTTCTTCTACATTTTTATAGCGCTTGGAATAAAAATGCAGACAAACATTATATAATAAATTACATATTATACATATTAAACCAACTATCATTATACTATTTGTATGTATTTTTCTTACAGAATGTTTGTGTGCAATAAGGGTATTATTTTGATATACTTACTTCGATAATTGATGAGACCCTGACCTGTAAAAGTTGAAAATTTGAAATTCAAGCATTGAAATTGATTTTACTTTAACGCATTAAATTATTTATAAAAACACACACAAATAAACCACCGAGCTATAGAAATTCAGCCTTCCTACCTTCTTCCCTCCTCTGCACGTTTCTTCTCCTGAGATTGAATAGTTGGAGGCATGTTTACTACAATTTTTGCTTTGCATTTACAGGTTTCGCTCTTCGCAGGACGCCATGTTGTTTTATCTTCAAACTCGCACTAGTTTCAGGCCTCGCGGACGAGGTAGACATTAGCATATCATTAGCATATTATTAGCAAACATTAGCATACATTAGCATACATTAGCATATCATTAGCATTCATTAGCAACTGTTGCGCTAGTTTGAAATCAGTTCTATCGAGTTTTTGCTTGTTTCACTGGTACGCGCAATCCAACTCCTATCAACTCTCATGCAACTCTTCATCTTGCTTGACTCGCGGCACGAGAGTTGAGAACTCTCATTCAAACTTTCGCGTGCCAACTGAAATATATCTTCTTTGAATTATCCCTACTTGTAGTAATATAATCATCTTCTTTGTAATATCTTCTTTGTAATATATCTTCTTTGAATTACCCCTACTTGTAGTAATATATCTTCTTTGTAATATATCTTCTTTGTAATATACCTTCTTTGAAAAGATCTTCAGACTTTTCACTGTACAAATTTTCAGATATGATGTCATTGACGTTTGCCTTTGTTCTTAGCAGCAGAATTTCATGCAATGATATATCATATCCAGAAATATTGACAATAAAAAAGTTGATTGATCAAGATTACTATAACAAAATATCATATAGATTCATTTCTTCTAAGAATACCCAAATATTATACGTACTAAAAATCATATTTTAGGGTGGTTGTACGTCATAAATTTACAGTAACATTCGTTTAATAGAAAATATCCAACATCTTGAACAAACGAGATAGTATACATATAGGGACCTTTCAATTCTGATCGGCAACCCGAGAACGACAAACAAACGGTACTTCTACACATGCTCTTCTTTCGAACTAGACATTCGTTGGCAAAAAACCATGTCGTTAAAGCAAATCCTGCTTCAGTTAACTCTAAATATATCTAGCTCAACAATCCTGGATTCTTCAAGTGAACAATGCTGAGAATGCTTCTTGCAGAGCTCGCTCGCAAGCGATTTCCTCGCCATATCCCCCAGCACGTTCTAACACCTGAGCAGAACGGATGTTGGACAAATATCTAAAAGAAAAGAAAAGAATGAAAAGATAAATGGATCCCGCTCAAAGAGCACTCGAAAGTACAAGACTCAAAGTAGTGCTATTTATAACAATGAAAGTCACGATTTAGGAACAATTATTATTTTTAGACTTTTAGGGTTAGGATTAGGGTTTGGATTAGGGAAAGGGTTAGGGTTAGAGTAAGGGTTAGGATTAGGGTTTGGATTAGGGAAAGGGTTAGGGTTAGAGTAAGGGTTAGGGTTAGGATTAGGGTTAAGTTTAAAATACAAAAGAATACAAAATTAGAAAAGTCTAAAAATAGTAACTCTTACTAAAACGTGAACCTGGTGCTACAAACGCCAGCGTGTTTATCCCTAGGTTTTACAAAATGCTACATTGGGTAAATATCGAGATTTTTGGGGCATCTCGCTCGATAGAACGAACAGTTGAAGGGTTTTTGTAGAGATGGGAATTTCGAGTGCAAGATATTTACCCATACCTTATAATGACATCATCGACTATATATTATATACAAGAACTCGTGGTTAGAGCTCGACAACTGGACTCTGTAGCTCAGTTGGTTAGAGCGCTGCACCGGGATCGCAGTTCGATTCCTGCCACAGGGCCAATAGTTATTATCTGAGCGAGAACAGGCCTTAAAATATCTTTTCCAGGGCCGTCTGACAAAATGTCCGGTGACGTTGAGTTTGGGTCGGACATATTGTCCGATGACCTTCAGTTCAGTTTTGACTCGGAAATAAGTCTGAATGACACAAATGAATAAACGGTAAATGTTGTAAAGATATTAAATAACTTGTTTCTTTCATATTTATTTCCAAGCCAAAATTAACTTGCTTCCCAGAACAGCAGTATTAAAAGACTTCGACAACTTAAGACCGTTAACTTTCCATTTCACCATTTCGGTCGCCGCCCCGCGCTCGACTACGTTAAAACAACATTTCCAGTTCACCTTTTATACAATAGTACTCTGATTTTCCATTTAACATACAAGCCTCTAGTCCTGGGCTAGGGTACATTTTGATTTACGCTGGACAAAGCTACAGTTTGGTCGGACACCATTACGCTCGGGTCGGACAAACAATAAACTTCAGTTTCACTTTGGTCGGACAGAATGTCCGGTGGTTTCCTCTCTACGTCGGACAATTTCACGAATGGGTCGGACAATGTCCGTGACCGACCAATATTTTAAGGCCTGCCGAGAAGACCGCATACTCACCCTTTACTCCTTAAGACAGCAGCAACTGGAGGCTTAGGTCCAAAGTTTTCCACTTCCAACGGTTTGTAAACATAACATGGCGCTGTTTCTTTGATAACTAGTGGAACATGTTCTTCTTTGTTCTAAAAGATACAGAAATTTGAAAGTTAAACTTCAAGGCCGAGTGATTCGTTGCGTGAATATCCTCGTATTTCGTACACAATTGAGTTAACGCTATAGAGATATGGTTGTGACTAGGGATATGGTTGTGACTATACTCGTGTGCAAAAGGTATTAATGAAGAAATAACAACCTACCAGTTTAAATACATGCGACTCTGCAGCTTTGAAAAGCAATGATGGTTTCTTGACAGGCTTGTGACTTGCAACGATTTCATCCACCGATTTTGAAGAGCTTATCTGAAACGCAACGAGTTGGGTTAACGAGAAAGTCGAAGCAACTCAGTCAAAGGTCTTGGGACAAAAAAATTTGAATCAGAGTGACGCAAATTATAGTTGTGTATTACATTAGTTGGTATGAATTTGCTTGAAAGATAGTCGGGCACCATTTTGTTTATTGTTTTATACATTATAAAAACCCCAAATTGCTGAGAACGTCTTTTCTCAAGGTTATCCCAGTTTAGAGAGTTCAAGGTCTGAGCTGAACGAACATTGTAGTCGGATCCTGTAATAATCCGTGAAGCTCTATTTTGTAATTTTTGAAGCTTGCGTCCCAAGACCTTCCCTAAATTGCCCCATACGCTACTGCAATAATCAAAATGTGGTTGGATCAACGACTTATGCCACCAACACCCCCAAAACAGAAACACAGAAGGTTCCTACCAAGTCGTCAAGCAGCGCTTCTTTCTCTTTTTTCTTGGACTGTTCCTCTTCTTTCACAGCATTTGCAAATTGTGCTCGACGTTCTTCGTTCTCTCTGCCCTCCGCTTCGATTCGAGATTTAACAAACTCTTCCTCACGGCTCTGTGGAAAAAACAACTTCACGATCTGAGCTGTGTTACTAAACAAGAACTACATGATCTTATCAGGTTACGGCAGCGCACAGTGGGAGGCAACGTGCCAATAGACTTTACTGTTTATTGAACGTTTCCCTAATGGTCTCGTTTTCATGTTTGCCTGTTTAGGCAGGCGCGTATGATTGTTATAATCCCATTTTTCGTGTACGAATGTCTCTCAGTCCAATCACAAGCCTATCCTTAAACCTGTTGTAAACGAAACATGTCTATTAACCGCATTTGTTAGTATTAGTCTATTAGACCGTATTCATTTATACCATGCTAGCCCGCGTGCAGGCCCAAGGGAACTGATATCAGTTCCCTTGGACCTGCACGCGGGCTAATACCATGCACATAGGCAAGCGGCCATGTCGAAGAAACTCATTAAAACGTGTTAACACAGGTAGCAAATGTGTTCGAAACGTATTCAAATTTGCAAGATTTCGCCGTTCGAGTTCACAGGGAGGCATGAAAACACACAAATTCCAACTAACGTACAAATTTGCACGCGAACAAATGAAAGTAAGGAACCAGGCCAATTTGCGTCCCGTCCCGAATTGGTCCAGTCAGGTGTCTATGCCATCTTACATTTTTCACAGTGTTTTTCTTTATTAAGATTTCATTTTCTTTTTTGTACATTTCAACGTTCCTGTTTGTTTCATCAACTTCAATGTTGTTCGCGAGGTTCCAAACTAGGAAACAAAAGACAGTTTTAAACACAGTTTAGACTTGTTTTCGTTTCTATGCCGATATAAAAATATGAAGTGATGATGCTTCACCGATAGTTTCTATTTCTTCAAGATAATCATTGTAAGCTCGTAGTGAATTTGGTTCATTGGAGAAATCTTCTTCTCTTTTGTTGTAACTGAAAAACATCAAATTTGAGAATTGTTATACTTTACTACTTTAACCCCATAAGTGGCAATGCGCCCTAACTTTTCAGCCTGCCCGGTGTGGATATACACTCAGAGTAACATCAGAACATTATATTCACCTGAGTACATAACATCAAAAAGGCAATGCGCCCTACTTTATTATTTTACTCTCTGTCTAATGCCAGACGACTGTACTCGCCAAGAGGAGAGTGCTCAGCCGTTCAATGGGTCAGTTTCAACATTGTGCTTATTTGTTTGTTTTTTGAATCTGTTTGTCTGTGTGTAAAGATACATTCGTATCTGTCCATTTTTCTTCTCCTTTTGATTGTCTATTTAACCAGTGGTGTAAAAGTTACTGATTTTTTTAAACTAGTTACATTAACAGTCACAATGTAACTAGTTACCGTTACAAAGTTACTTCACGATTTTCGTAACTGGTTAAAAAGTTATTTTCAATTTCTTGTAACTTATTCGAAGTTAGTAATCTGCAGGATTTAATAATTACATTGAGATTGAGTTTAAATAAATTGCTATGAAGAATAGGATACCCCGACTGCAAACCAGCGAATAGGCAAAGGAGTTATTTTAGTGTGAATCAGCTTGTGTAAACAAAATAGCAAGTATAATATTTTAATGTGAAAATGTAACGAAAAAAGTAAAGTAAATGTGGTTCAGAAAAGTAACGCATTATCGGTCCATTTTAAGCCAAAATGTAACTAATTACAGATACTTCTTTTCAAAACGTAACTAGGTACCGTTACAGTTATTCAAAAAATAACGACTACTTGTAGCTTTGTTACTTGTAATCAAGTTACTTACAGCACTGGTTTTATATTTTTGCCTGTCTAGTCTTTCTATGTGTCTACCTCTCGTCCTCTCCATCCACCTGTTTGTTTCTCTGTCTATCAGTTTGTATGTCTGTCAGGTAACTGCATGAGAGGTTTGTCTGTTTATCTGTTTGTTAATACATTAGTCTTTACAGTTTACCATCCCAGAATCATGTAGTTATGTAATTCAGTATTTCATAGCATGCTGAGAATGTACTCAACAATTAAATAGGAACAGCAAAATGCAAAACTTTTCCTAATAATTATATACTAGTAGTATTTGTTCATAATATACATTTTAATAATTCGTTTTCTAATATCAACTTCTTTCTCCACAATCAAATCTTCAAACTGTTGAAGTCTGAAGTCACTTCTTCTCAATGGCGTCTCACACTCCGGACATGCTGCTGACGGTCGAGTGAAGAGAACATCAACACAATTAAGACATCTATGAAAAATAAGATGAATAACACTGTGCCAAAAACTGGTTTAGCTTATATTTGTTTACTACCAGATGGTTTTGCTTGTCAAGGGGGAAATGCTGAGCAATGATAAGGTTCATTCTTCTGAAAGTTATAACGCAAATGCCTGTACATTTTGTACAGCTGTGCATATATTTTAACATGTTAAAAAGCAAATTGTGCAAAACTTACAGTTTGTGTCCACAAATATTCACCAAGAGTTTAAGTTTAGGATTTCTATATTTACTAGTCTTGCATTTTGGGCACTGCTGATCAAGATCCATGGTTATTCATCAAACCACATGTCTTCAACTTTTCAACTCCTCAACACCGCCATGTTGTTTTGTCGTTCGCTTTCAGAAGCATCTGGTAATACTTCGTGTAAGAAGGAATGAAATGGCATACAATACCGTCGTTTGCATCTAAGCATGAACAGTCGCAGATGAAAAATTTAATCAGCTAATCGCGCACAACTACATACGCAAAAATCTCACATCTTGTTGCAAGTCTGCCAACAAGTTGTGTTCGCACTGCCTGACTGTCTCAAGTTGTCAACACGTTTCTGTTTGGAAAAACCTGTTAACAACTTGTAAGACTTGTAACAAGCTTGATGGCATTATCAGATTTGTCGCAAGGTTGTTCCAACAAGTCCGATACAGTCATGATAAAAACAACATATTTACAATCTTGTGTCGTAAACCTTGTAATATTCTTGTTATATCATGACATGAAACAGTGTGACGGCTTGTGAACAGATTTGTAACAACTTGTTTGCAGACCTGTTTGCAGATACACGTAAAAACGTACAAGTTATTACAGGTCTGCAAACAAGTTGTTGAATTGCAGGATGATATACTGCGGATTCAGGTAGACCGTGAAATGCGAATAGTTGTCGCGTTACTTTTAACGGTTGCACGATGACGTTTCTAGGCAGATTTTCAGACGTTTCTAAGGCGTGGCTTCAACGTTTATTTTCAAAATTTAAACGTTGTAATTCCACTTTTGATCGCGAAAATGTGGAACGTCATTCAAAATCCTGGCTTAAAAATCATCATATTTCATGAAAATTGATATAGAGATTGGCGTTATACGTTTGTTCGAACAGTATAAATCATATTCTATTTTTATTTGAACAAAAGACATGTTGACGAAAGCAACTAAAATAGAATGACAGAAATGTTGAAACGTGTTTACTTTTTAACAAAACGTTGAAGCCACGCCCTAGAAACGTCTGAAAATCTGCCTAGAAACGTCATCGTGCAACCGTTACAACGAACGCGACAACTATTCGCATTTCACGGTCTACCTGAATCCGCAGTATATATATATATATATATATATATATATATATATATATATATATATATATATATATATATATATATATATATATATATATATATATATATATATATATATATATATATATATATATAACAAGTTGTTGGAACAACTTGTAACAAGTCGTTGGAACAGCATTGCTACAAGTTTGCTGCAGGTTTGTTACAACTTGTGTGTTTTTACTGTGTACACACGTAAAAATCTCACATCTTGTACACACGTAAAAACGCATAAATTGTCACAGGTCTGCAAACAAGTTGTTAGAAATCTATTCAAAAACTGTCGACAAGTTGTGTTCGCATGCATGTTCCCAGTTGTTGTAACAAGTTTGGCACAAGCTGTTAACGACTTGTAACAAGTCTGATGGCATTATCAGACTTGTTACAAGGTTGTTCTAACAAGTCTGATGCAGTCATGATATAACAAGAGTGTTACAAGGTTGTAACAATATTGTTATATCATGACTGTATCGGACTTGTTGAAGCAACCTTGCAACAAGTTTGATAATATCAACAAGGTTGTTACAAGTTGTTAACAGCTTGTTCTAAACTTGTCAACAACTTGGGACAAGCAGTGCGAACACAACTTGTTGATAGTCATGATATAACGAGAGTGTTACAAAGTTGTAACAATATTGCTATATAATGACTGTATCGGACTTGTTGGAGCTTGTAACAAATCTGATGCCATCAGGCTTGTTACAAGTTGTTAACAGTTTGTTCCAAACTTGTCAACAACTTGGGACAAGTAGTGCGAACACAACTTGTTGACAGTCATGATATAACAAGAGTGTTACAAAGTTGTAACAATATTGTTATATCATGACTGTATAGGACTTGTTGGAGCAACCTTGTAACAAATCTGATGCCATCGGGCTTGTTACAAGTTGTTAACAGCTTGTTCCAAACTTGTCAACAACTTGGGACAAGCAGTGCGAACACAACTTGTTGTCAGACTTGCTACATTAAGTGAGATATTTGCGTGTGTAGTTAAATGCTTGTACACTCGTAAAAATCTCACATCTTTTTACGTGTGTACACGCGTAAAACTCTCACATCTTGTATATAGCAAGTCTGCCAACAAGCCGTCAACAAGTTGTGTTCGCACTGCTTGTCCCAAGTTGTCAACAAGTTTGGAAGAACCTGTTAACAACTTGTAACAACCTTGTTAATATTATGAGACTTGTTGCAATGTTGTTCCAACAAATCCGATACAGTCATGATACAACAATATTGTTACAACCTCGTGTGGTCAACCTTGTAACATTCTTGTTATATCTTGACTGTATCAGACTTGTCAGAACAATTCATCAAGCCATCAAGCTTGTTACAAGTTATTAAATAGCTTGTCCTAAACTTTGTTGCAACAACTAGGAACAAGCAGTGCGAACACAACTTGTCGACGTCTTGTGAGCAGATTTGTAACAACTTGTTTGCAGACCTGTTTGTAGATACACGTAAAAACGCACAAGTTGTTACAGGTCTGCAAACAAGTTGTTACAAATCTGTTCACAAGTTGTGTTCGCACTGCTTGTTCCCAGCTGTTGTAACAAGTTGGGAACAAGCTGTTAACAACTTGTAACAAGCTTTATGGCATTATCAGACTTGTTACAAGGTTGTTCTAACAGGTTTGATACAATCTGGATATAACAAGAATGTTACAAGGTTATCAACACAAGGTTGTGACAATATTGTTGTATCATGACTGTATCAGGCTTGTTGGAGCAACCTTGTAACAAGTCTGATAATGCCATCAGGCTTGTTACAAGTTGTTAACAGCTTCTTCCAAACTTGTTGACAACTTGGGACAAGCAGTGCAAACACAACTTGTTGACGGCTTTTTGGAAGACTAAGCTTGCTACAAGACATGCGATTTCACGGGTGCACAACATTACATCTGCAAGACATTACAGTTTCACGTGAGAATAGACAATTAATTTTTCAGCAAGTGTTCATTTTTTCAGATGCAACAACTATGAAATATGGTCTAAATTACTTCTATGTTTTAATATATTTCAAGATAGAAATCTCTTGATGCCATTTCATATATATTTGTATGATATAACTATATGGCTAGTTTTATTGAAATTTCTCATAAATTATCAATTCTATCAGCATCGTCACTTTCTTCGTTTATTGTAGATAGTGAACAAATTGTCAATCCTTTATTCGGATCTTGCCAACTATCAGCGTTTGCATTGGGCCAACCACTGTCCTGATCATCGCCTATAGATCCTTGTCTACCCTGCATGACCTCTTCAGACCATGCGGATCCTATATTTATCCATGGTGCACGGTCGTTCTTCAAAATATTCCAACCGTCCGAGAGAGGTCTGGAGACTGGTTCTGGTTCACGCTGATAAAATAGAATAAATTCTTGGCTCTCAACTTCGTGAAGTTGTCGTGGTTCGTTCGGGGAAGTTCGTGAGTCTTCGTAAATAGATGGGAATTTGTCGTAAGATTCCGATGATGTTGGTTCAACGGGTACTATGTCTGCGCATGCACCTGGTAACGAGTTTGAGTCACTGAGCTCTACTATATATATCTGGAGATCGTGCTCCCATATCTCGTCCACTGAGCTCTACTATATATATCTGGAGATCGTGCTCCCATATCTCGTCAAACAAAAAAGTGTCCGCAAAAACATGGCGGATTTCGAGCTCCGCGTCCACTATTTTCGGGCGATTTACCACTGACCACATAATATTTTTGAAAGCCACCTGTTTTCGCACCCCCCTGGATGCAAAAAGTATACACTGTGTATTTATTATAGTTTAAAACTATCAAGTTTCACAACTTTATATTTTGTCAACATGCCGCGTTAATATTGCTCGGTTTATGGTTGTCACAACTCCTTTGACAAAGACGGACTGTATTCACACTGGTAAGGAAATATTATTTTGTGCTTAGATATCATTCGAGAAGTTTTTTCTGCAAATGACAATGTAAAGCAAACTGTAGTTTTAATATGTTTTGTTCACGTGCATGTGTCACCAGCTTTTCTCGACTATGGCTTCTTTTCTGAGGTTTTTGCATGCAGTTTGTTTCATTCAAATATTATGTTTCCATTGTTCCTTGTGATGTTCTCGTGTGCATTTTTTCTACCTACTGTACAGTGTATTTTATAGGCCTGTTTGTATTTATGAAAGCATATTGTTATTGATTTTTTCCCTTCACATGTTTAAGCATTTCTGATGCAAAGAAGCATACAGAATTGTACAGCATATGGGTTGAGTATATGAATAAACATGCACCAGTGAAGTCTGTTCCTGCAAAAAGTAGTCGTTTGTGTTCAGATCACTTTAGTGCTGATATGTATGAGATAAAGGGCAAAAGCCAGAAATTAGTATTGAGACCAGATGCTAATACCGACAATAGTTACACAAAGGTTTGCTCAGGTCATTGGTGCGATTTAATTAATGTTATATGCAACAGTGTGCATGATTTACATTCTTTAGCTAAGGGACAAGTCATTATCAATTATGCCGGGTAGGGGGCTGGAGGAAATTTTTATGAATAGCAAAAATTTTTCATGACCCCTTATTTTTCTAACAAACTATTTTATCCCCCCCCTTATTCAGGCAACATATTTCATAGCCCCCCCCCCAATTCTGAATTCAATTACTATAAGTCAGTTTCGTAACCATTTTTCCTGCCCTCATACTCAGTTTACTTGCAGATGTAAAGAATATTGTAAATATTGAAAATAAAGAATATTGTAAATATTGAAAATGATAGCCAAGTAGATAATTCAGACTTTATACCTGAAAAGTTGTTGGTCCTCAAACAAAAAACCCACAAATCAGACCTACTTTTACTAATTGAAAAAAATACATTTGTGTCTGGTGGAAGCATTACTGTATATTGAAGAGATGGCAGAAGAGACTGTCAACAACATGCAGAAACAGAGCATGCGAAAGAGGTCCACTGTGTTAAAAGCAGGACAACAACTGTCAATTGAATCTTGCATTTGCAAATGCAGTGCATGACCCTTTAGACAAATTCTTTGGTGATGATGAGGATGACAATTTCTATATACAGTGCCTAGAACACAACTTTTAGGTTCAATATATTGGGCATTACTGTTCAATGTATGTATACTGTATATATCCATCACTCTTTTGATATTGCATGTTACAAACTATTCCATAGATTTTATTTTTTGCCCCCCCCCCTTTATGTTCAAAATATTTTCTGCCCCCCCCCACTGGTCAAAAAAAATATTTTTGTGGCCCCTCTATATTAAAATTTATTGTTACATTTACTAGGAATGGTATGCTGGATGTGTTTTAAAAGAGGGCATACAAAAATTGTGTGCCCAAATAGAGCAAAAACCCACTCAGACAGTTGTTCAAGAACAACATAATTGGCACAATTGCCATGATATTAAATTCACTAAGTAACTTTGTTTATGTTATAATGTGTGAATGTTGTGTGAGTGTTGTTTGTTAATTTTTATTTATTTATTAGGCCATTAATAAATATTCTTGGTTTGAAAAATATTTGGGGGGGGGGATGTACCCACTGCTGGTGCCACCACTGGAAATATCAGCTAATTATAGCCAGCATAGCTTCAATAAAATATATTGAAGTAAATATGACATCAAATACTCTTTTATTAAAAGCAATAGCTATGTGCATGTTTCACTTGTATAATTTGGGACAACCCGAGAATATCCTTATGGAATTAACAAAATAAAACATGGGACATGAGACCAAGAATACTTATTGATGGCCTGTAATAGTAATATAATAATATTGTATATATTTTTAAATTAAACTTTTTAAATGTTGAATAAATCTAATTTGTAATGAAAATTAATAATGCACATAAGAATATGTTTAATAAAATAATATATAATTATTGTTTGGTGTGCTAGATCCTTCATTAACTAATCCTTGGCTTTGCCTGGTCAAACAATGATTCTATTGCCATGAATTGCCATCGAATATAACAATGATTCCAGTGACAAACGTAGAACCATATACATTTGGGTATTTATTAGTGCAGACTGCAGATTTACTTTCCCCATAATGTGCACAGAGTACATTGTGAGTAGACATGATCAACAATATGCAGTTTCCATAATCTGAAAAAATAATCATAATTAGATGATACATGCATAAACCGACATAAGTTTCGTTTCAACAACGCATGGCTGTGTTCACAAATTTATACGTTAAAATTATATGTATAGTAGAAATGCAAAAGGAACAACGTACTTTTTATACAATTTGAAAGAGAATTATGCACATATCAACCGCCTGCCCGGGGGGTACACCCCGGGACAACTGGGGGGAAACGAGGGGGAATTTGGTATTTTATCTGTGTGTTCTGCCTGTGAACCCCGGGGAAATTAGGGAGTGGTCATTATTTATGGGGAGGGGGGGGGGTGTTGGGAAATGGGGAAAATAAGGATTGAAAACTTTTTTGAACCCCCTCCAGACTGAAGGCAAACTTTTTGTGCCTCCCCCCTCATAAAAATAGAAACTTTTCTGACCCCCTCCCCAGTGTGGATTGAAAAATTAACAGCAATGAAACAGGTGTGCATTGCATGTAAAACAATGTAGGGGTGCATGTAGGGGTGCAACATTTGTCCTACCATAACTCTAACCCATGACCCATCTTCATACAGCAAAATGATTTGAACACAGGGTTTTTTTAAGAACTTGTCTGGGCACCAACCATGGTAGCGCCTCGCAATCATGGGAGTCGGGCCCACTAAGTTTAACAAGCTTGCTACCCCCTGAGTGACCAGTTGTGGTATTTACATAAACATACCATGCAAATACACTTAACTGATCAGATTCAGTCTATCAATGCACAATGTAACGCTGTATATCCAAAAATCTGTTTCAGAAAATGCTCACATTTCAGTTCTAGGGGTGGAAAAATACAAAACATTTTCTGGGGGAGCATCCCGGGACCCCCCTACTAGTACATACGCTACCACACCAAACTTTTTGTCAC